GCATAATACAGTACTGCACTGTCCATTCATGTGACTGAGAAACAAGTGAGATGCACAGAGGTGTAGGGAGGCTCTGACGGGGTGGTGGTGGTGGGGTTTTTTGGGGATGGGATTAGCAAGAGGCTGTGGGCCCCGAGGCAGAGGGCCTCGTTTCCTGGCCTGAGCCCCTGTTTGTCCTGCCTGACCTGGCAGCTCTGGGGCAGATCCTGCCTGGATACATCCCTGCTCCCACGCCTGTCTGAAGCTGTTAACCACTGGCTGTGAGTAGCTTGCTGGGCTTAGTGGTGTCTGAGCTGTGGCTGGGTGGGAGGGGGGTGGGGGGAGGGGTGGGGGGGGGGCACAAGGGGTCTGGTCATCTGTGGGTTTGGGGTGTTGGCGGGTGGAGTTGCCAGCTGCTGTGTGAAACATGCATCTATCTGGTGATGATTAATAGCTTTAGTTGGGCTGTTATTGACAGATTTTAGAAAATCAGTAATTCTGTTTTAAAATCTGTCTTTTTAAAATTCCCTCATATATGTGACAGCACATGTGTAAAAACTGGCTACATTCTAGGAAAACCCAATAAAAACAGTTGTGTTCATTACTCACTGTTTTGTTTTCCGTTTATTTTCCTTTTTGATTGGAAATATTAATTTTTTTCTGTAAATAACAGGTAAAAGAAAATGTTTCAACTGTTTTCCAAAGGCTGGAAAATTATTTTTACTGACTGAGACATTCTTAAATAAGCAATCTTTTGCAGAACTTTTTATTGGCACCTGCGTGCTATCTGGTTGTGAACTGCTCGTGCATCATTTTAACCACGCTGCAGGTTCAGTCCTGACTTCCTCCTTCCACACGCATCTAATGTGCTTATAAAATTAATGAAACTGCTGGTAATTAACTGTAGCCCTGCGCTTTTCCTAAATAATCAAATTAAAGCGCTGAAGCTTTTCTGGTGCTTAAAGGGTCTTGTCTGCGTACCAACTGTGTGCACAACACTGTTTTGACTTCACAATCCGTAAGATAACACTTCTCCTCTCTCCCAAGTGGGTTGTTTGATTATCACTCTCCAAAAATGAAAATGAAATAAAGGGATATTTACTTTTCTTCCTCGAAAGCTTTGATAGCCCAATTGCTTGTTTTCAGAGACGTGTTCTTATTTTACCACTGGAGGATTGGCTGTTGGGTTTGGGGTATATGCGCAGCTCTGAGTGTGTTGTTTCTGCAGAATATACTGTCAGTGAAAGGACAGAGAACAGCAAAGAGAAAGGAGCTAGAATGGAGAACGGCATTTGTGTGTTTAAAAAAATGAATTAATGCATTTTTTAGATAAATAAAAATTCCTGTGGTTTTGGATCAGAAGGCTGTTGAGAGAAACAGACCTATGAGGCTTAGTTGTGGGTCCTTCTGCATCAGTCGTCACTTTGGACCCAGTTGTATCGCGTCATACCCCTGTCAAAACCCGTGCACGCGCATTGGGTCCACAGCGCGCGTGTGAACGGGACTCGCGAGCGAAAATATACATGGCAGCGCGCGTGTGAACGGGACTCGCGAGCGGAAATATACATGGCGAGAGGTCATTTGTGCACTGAGAGGGAGCAAACTGTGTCTGTGAGCGCACAAGGATGTGCACAAGTGACAAACCTGCGTGCGCGCGTGGTCAACGAGCACACGGCAGAGGAAAACGTGCGCGCGCGGCAGCCTCTGTGCGCGCTCGGCAGCCTCTCTGCGCGCTCGGTTTCTGACTCCTGCTCGCTCGGCTGTAAGGGTTTTGGCACTCTGGAGGCGTGGCCTGTGGCAGATCTTCTCTGTCCTCTGATTGGTTAGTGTACCCCGCACTTTACCCTCTACCTATCTATATAAAAAAGTCTGCTAGTCAAGTAGTCGCTGGCATAGCTCAGTTGGAAGAGCGGGTGACTCTCGCCCTGGAGGATCCAGGTTCGAGGCCGGGCAAGGAAAATGCAGTAGATGTCATGTTAATTTTTCTTAATTTCAGGTATTTTACAGTTGTGACCGTTCAACTATCATTAAACGTCCGAATGTTTGCTGGGCAGTGTTTTAAAAAGTGCACATAAGCTAGATGGTTTTAACCATATAAAATTACATTTTTTGTGATACTGGAAAAATACATACTGAAATAAAACTACTGATTGAAAACTTTATGACTGTGGTTGTACAATATATGACTCACTAATACACTGCAAACTCCCTTAGAGTGGGGCTTCCAGAGAGAGAGAGAGAGAGAGAGAGAGAGAGAGAGAGAGAGAGAGAGAGAGAGAGAGAGAGAGAGAGAGACAGAGAGAGAGACAGAGAGAGAAAAGTTCTTGCCTCATTAATGAATTGTTTATTTTTTTCAGTATTTAATTGACAAATTATCCTTTCAAATAATTAATTGATGAGTTACATAATTGTCCATTTAGAATTGTTGAATGGACTGAGTCAAGTTTGGTGCACTTTATATATTTCAAAACATGTTTTTTTTTTTTTTTATGATGCATATAAATAATTTAAATGTTAATTTAATGAAATATTTCTATTTTTTCATTACCTCACCCTTGTTTTGACAAAAACAGGACCTTGCTGGATAATATCACGGAGAAACTATTTGTTCACAGTACATGGCTCAGTGAGGATCTGTGTAAAGGAGGAGATACTCAGAAATCTGTCTGCAGATTGTTACAACCCAGACTGGAAGTGGTGGGCTGTAATAAGAAAGGAGACCAAACAGAGGAGTGGGGGTTCAACAACTGATTTATTTAACAAAAGTAAGGATTTACTAAAGCAAGTTAGTGAACAGAAAATGGCCAGTGAGGACTCTCCACCACACAGGAGAGACCCAGTGAAAGCAGAAAAACAGTAGGCTTTGTAGGCAGCACCACACCCTGAGCCCAGGTGCCTCCAAGGCTGCTTAACCAGCTGCCTACAACAGAAGAAAAACACAATTAAACACAAATGAAAACCCAATGAGATGGTGGGGGCATCACAACACGTTCAGGACTACCCAAACACCAGTAAATCTTGACTGCACTGATCTGAGGTGTCAATGGCCATATTCCCCTCTCTTCCAGAGTCATATATTTTCCTCAAGTTCAACTGCACTCTGAAGAGGCTCATTTGGATTGTGCCACATAGGCCAGTGACCTTTGTCTCAGCACTGTATGCTGGAACTATCAGCGACCAACCTGGGAATCTGGTGTGTTGAAAATGCTACAACTAGAGATGGTCATCTTGGTAGACAGGGGTTTCTGCATTGATGACATTGTGCCCTGCAAAGTGTACAGGCCAGCTTTCCTTTCTGGCAAACCTCAAATGTCTGCATGTAAAGTTATAGAAACAGAAGCCATAACATCTCTGAGTGCATGTGGAGCGCTCCATTCATCTGGTCCAAGAACACAAGCATTTTGATTGTTATTCCCCTCCTTGCATTTGTAAACAATCAGCTATATGCTGTGGTTTTTCTCCTTACCAACTTTTAAAATAGCCCACTAGTGAAGGCCTGGGCAAAGAAGCCTGATGTCTGAGAACCTCAACATATGTACGGCAACCATACTGTATATTTACACACATTCATAAAGAAACTGCATATCAAGCTTTCATTCAGATGACCTTCAACAGTGCTGCACCCTGCTGAGGGACATCCGAGTAAAACCTTGAGATGGCCATTTTCTGTTCACTAACTTGCTTTAGTAAATCCTTACTTTTGTTAAATAAATCAGTTGTTGAACCCCCACTCCTCTGTTTGGTCTCCTTTCTTATTACAGCCCGCCACTTCCAGTCTGGGTTGTAACAATCTGCAGACAGATTTCTGAGTATCTCCTCCTTTACACAGATCCTCACTGAGCCATGTACTGTGAACAAATAGTTTCTCCATGATATTATCCAGCAAGGTCCCGTTTTTGTCAAAACAAGGGTGAGGTAATGAAAAAATAGAAATATTTCATTAAATTAACATTTAAATTATTTATATGCATCATTAAAATAAAAAAAAACATGTTTTTAAATATATAAAGTGCACCAAACTTGACTCAGTCCATTCAACAATTCTAAATGGACAATTATGTAACTCATCAATTAATTATTTGAAAGGATAATTTGTCAATTAAATACTGAAAAAAATAAACAATTCATTAATGAGGCAAGAACTTTTCTCTCTCTGTCTCTCTCTCTGTCTCTCTCTCTCTCTCTCTCTCTCTCTCTCTCTGGAAGCCCCACTCTAAGGGAGTTTGCAGTGTATTAGTGAGTCATATATTGTACAACCACAGTCATAAAGTTTTCAATCAGTAGTTTTATTTCAGTATGTATTTTTCCAGTATCACAAAAAATGTAATTTTATATGGTTAAAACCATCTAGCTTATGTGCACTTTTTAAAACACTGCCCAGCAAACATTCGGACGTTTAATGATAGTTGAACGGTCACAACTGTAAAATACCTGAAATTAAGAAAAATTAACATGACATCTACTGCATTTTCCTTGCCCGGCCTCGAACCTGGATCCTCCAGGGCGAGAGTCACCCGCTCTTCCAACTGAGCTATGCCAGCGACTACTTGACTAGCAGACTTTTTTATATAGATAGGTAGAGGGTAAAGTGCGGGGTACACTAACCAATCAGAGGACAGAGAAGATCTGCCACAGGCCACGCCTCCAGAGTGCCAAAACCCTTACAGCCGAGCGAGCAGGAGTCAGAAACCGAGCGCGCAGAGAGGCTGCCGAGCGCGCACAGAGGCTGCCGCGCGCGCACGTTTTCCTCTGCCGTGTGCTCGTTGACCACGCGCGCACGCAGGTTTGTCACTTGTGCACATCCTTGTGCGCTCACAGACACAGTTAGCTCCCTCTCAGTGCACAAATGACCTCTCGCCATGTATATTTCCGCTCGCGAGTCCCGTTCACACGCGCGCTGTGGACCCAATGCGCGTGCACGGGTTGTGGCACGCTTTAAACGCCATACAGTTGCGTCACTCCGGCCTCATCTTATAAAGCTGTCAACGCCTTTCTCTCACCTGGATAGCCATACACACACATACACTCACACACACATAAACACACTTACACACACACACGCACACACACTAGAGCGCACAGTCCAACCCAAACAGAGAGGCAGGACAAGAAGTAACTTTGACCACATATCTGGAGAATTTTTCAGCTGATTGTTTCACCTCCAAAAAGAAGATCCTCATTAGCGTTTTTTATGACTCTTGCAAATTATTCTTACTTCTCTGGCATGTGCAACATGACCGCAGAGCATTCGCAGGCAGAGGCCAGTCCGGTAGGCATGTCTCCAAGCGTGAGCTTGGACTCCCCGCTGCCTCCGCCGCCCATGATGCTCCAGGGCCGCTCCAAGGACGGCGTTCTGATCAAGTCTGAACCCCGGGGGAGCAGCCCCGGCACGGAGGATGGAGGCGCGCTGGGTCAGACTGAGGAGCACCTGCCCACGGGCAGCCGCCGCCGGAAGAGGCCCGTCCAGAGGGGGAAGCCTCCCTACAGCTACATTGCTCTCATCGCCATGGCCATTGCCAACTCCCCAGAGAGGAAGCTCACCCTCGGGGGCATTTATAAGTTCATCATGGAGCGTTTTCCTTTTTACAGAGAAAACTCCAAGAAGTGGCAGAACTCCATCCGCCACAACCTGACCCTTAATGACTGCTTTGTGAAGATCCCCAGGGAGCCCGGAAGACCAGGTAAAGGCAACTACTGGACCCTGGACCCGGCCGCGGAGGATATGTTTGATAACGGGAGCTTCCTGCGGAGGAGGAAGAGATTCAAGCGCACGGATATGAGCACCTACCCCGGCTACATGCAGAGCTCCAGCGCCTTTACTCCGACGCCGATGGGCAGGCCGTCCTATCCCAACACGCTTTACGCAGGGATCGGGTCAGGGTACGGTTCTCAGCTGACCGCCACATCCCCACATCCGGCCATGATGCATCACTACCAGACTCCCACCGGGGTCGGCCAGGGCCAGCCGCGCATGTTCAGCATCGACAACATCATCAGCCAGCAGACAGTGGTCCAGAGCGGCCCGGCTGGGGAAATGATCCCCCAGACTCTGAGTCTGGGTGGAGAACTGGGCAACATGAACTCCAGCTGCTCGGTCACCGGCACCGACCCGTCCGCGTGTTTCCAGACGCAGACTGTCAACCCAGCAGCGAACATGCTGAGCAGAAACAGCGGGAATATGACCTCCACCTACCCGTACTCCTCCTCTTCAGCTTCTCCTCCGAACCTGCCCTCCATGAGCCAGTCCGGGTTCTCCCCGGGAGGCTCTCAGGTGTACTGCTCGGGTAACCGGCTGTCCCTGCCGGCGCTGCGCCACGGCTCCTGCGCGGAGCACTCGGAGCAGCTGCTCGGCCTCTCCAACCCTATGAACTCCTACAACAACAGCTACATGAGACAAGGGAACTTCGCGTCAGGGCTGGAGCGGTACATGTGAGAAAGCTGTTTATAATAAATGTCAGGAGATCAGAGTAAATAAGACCAAACCTCAACATAAAACATCCTTATATAAGCCATTTAAATCCCACATTCCATCATTCTGTTCTCTTTCTTTGTGTTTCCACGTTTCTGTTCTGAAATATGTTTGTATAAAATAGTTTCTCTGACGTTAACATTTTTTAAAAGTGTAACTGTTGGCATCATCATGTCACAGGAATAGAAATAAACGTCTTTTATGAGTTTTGTCGTTCATTTGCGCTCCTTTTAGGTAAATTTATATTTTATGTGTGCCATTAGCCATCAACATAACATGTAAAAAATGTATCAGATGAATAAAAATAAACTAAATCTATTTTTGTCTAAGAGGAAACAAAAATATATACAGCTTTTGTAGATTCTTTTGTGAGAGATAAAGAAGGTAATTTCTGTTTAAACACACTTTCCTTCGGTTGGGACAAGTTTTAGAAACAAACAATAAAATAAAATAAAATAAAATAAAAAAACACTGCGTTCGTTCAGTTTAGACATTGATCCAAGAGAAAGAAAAATGATTACAGGAGTAAGATTCACCTATAAAAACACCAAGAAGAAGAACTTTTTTGAATTATTTATTCTTTGGAGTAAACATCTGGTTCCTTATCCTACAAAGAAGCATCCCTTTTATTCTGTCAATTAAAGTAATTTATAATGTAAAATATGTTGGATAACTTCAATATAAGACTTCTATCATCTTGTTAAAGGAACACGAACAAAGTTAAGAAACCAACCAATAAATGCTTCTGCTAATACTACTACTACTACTACTACTACTACTACTACTACTACTACTACTACTACTACTACTACTACTACTACTACTACTACTAATAATAATAATAATAATAATAATAATAATAATAATAATATAGCACTACTACTACTAATAAGCTCATCTTTTTACTCCCAGTTCAAATGGTCTCTGTGTGAAACGTCCTTAAAACAAAAGGGTTTATGCGTGAGACAAGGAATTACTGCGGTATACTTGGCGCAAAAAATAATAGCAAAAGTAAGAAATAAGAAATAAGCACAATATAATAATAATAATAATAATAGTAATTATTATTATTATTATTATAAAACCAGTCTCCTGATAAAATCATTAATCAGCTTTAACGCATCAGTATGTTAGTTATTAAGTAACTATTAAGGCGTTTCTGAAAATAGCAGCTCGATCACGAAATTAAACCTAAATTCCATATTAAAATTCGGACATAAAGGCAGCTGCAGTGTTTTAATTTGCCACTAGATGGCATCTAAATCAAATAGATTAGGTTCTCTCGACAGCTTTTAGTGCATTTCTCACACCATTAACGTTTGAACAACAGCATTTAGTGGAAACTGCAAAACCCAAAAGCGAGTTACTTGGTATCAGGATAGTCCATAAAAATGTATGTCAATGAAAGTATCATCAAAATAAAAAAACCCGGACGTTGATTATTGTGTAATTTTGTACCACATAACTGAAAAAAAAGTAACTGTAACTTTTGCTGTCTCTAGGCAGGACTGAGGTTTTTAATCTCAATGGGAGCTTCCTGGTTAAATACAAAACTAATAAATAAATAAATAATAAAGAAAAACATTTTTATTTATTTTTATTTAACCTTTACTTATCCAGATGAGTCGATAGAGAACTCATTCTCATTTACAACGAGGATTTGGCCGAGAGGCAGCAGCAAGACTCACAGTTAGCTTTACATAAAAAACACAGGTAAGATTTTAGAAATTACAAGACAGAAATAAGATAAAACTGTTAGACATAAAGACAAAGGACAGTTCCCATTTACGATATCTACACGCAATCAAAACAGACTTAAAACAGTCACTCAGAAACAGGCACATTGATCAGAAACTACTGATTGTAATGAATGATTGAAGATAGATAATGGATTGTAGGTAGTGTGCTTCAGTGATTTTTTTTTATTAAATAAATAAATAACAAGATAGTCAAATGGCTTATTCATGGTTTTACTAGTTCACTCTGAAGTGTTTTCCAAAAGAAAAGAGTCAGATCTTGGATGCTCTAAAATGCTAAAAACAGCACTGTTTGTACAGCCATTTAAAATCAGTGATGTTACGAGGTATTGAGTACAACACACCGATGTTTCACATAATTTCTGCATGTGCTCTTTGCAATTTTAAGTCATCCACAGCATTGTGCAAAAGTAAAGCAGCCTAGACGTACAAGAAACACAAGAAACACGGCACACAATGCATGGAACTGACTTAGAACACACAATAAACAATGCTAAAACCATTCACACACACCCAGAAGTTCCTGATTGTGTCAGATATTATTAAAAGCATTTGTAAAAGAATGAGAAAGTGTTTGAGCCCAGATGATTAACTGTACAAAGTATTATTTAAAGTTATCAGTGAAATATTTCACCATGACAGAAAATACAATATTTAGTCGTCATCAGACACAATTCTGCCTAACTTTTTTATTCCTTCATATTTTTTTCAAAACTTGCTTGTTAATTAGTGAATTAAAATCTATCGTAAGTTGGTTTTATTGTCTCTATTATTGCACTGTGTAAAACTAACATGCGGTGTACCCTGCCTTTCACCCTTTAACCCCTGCACTGAGCTACAAACACTTCTTTCAGGTGTTTATTTTGGCCACTTGTCTTCACAGGTGTTCATATCTTGAACTTACCGCAAATGTCAACATCTAATTGGCTCACATGTTTAGATTAAATTTAGAACTCAATCACACTTATGAGATTCCTTTAGACAGGCCAAATTTCTCATGAGGAACACCAGGGGGCGCTGTAAAACCACAAACTGCGCGAAGAAAAGACGCCTGAGCTGACCCTCAGGGGCTGAGCCGGAAATAAAATGCAAATAAGTGGTAAATAATTATGAAAGAACTTAATTAATTTTACATGTAAAAAAAACTCCTGAACGATAGATAGATAGATAGATGGATAGATAGATAGATAGATAGATAGATAGATAGATAGATAGATAGATAGATAGATAGATAGATAGATAGATAGATAGATAGATAGATAGATAGATAGATAGATAGATAGATAGATAGATAGATAGATAGATAGATAGATAGATAGATAGATAGATAGATAGATAGATAGATAGATAGATAGATAATGAAAAAGGTGGCGAGCTTTAGCTGAAACAGGTTTCATGATTCAAAGATTGAGAGTTTTTATTGTCATATGCAAAGTGGAAGTAGAAAAATGTTTTTCGGCACAAATGAAATTCTTACTTTGCTGCCAAAACAAAAAGATCTAAACAATAATACAAGCTTACATCTCTACCTTGGGCAACATGGTACGTGTACAGTCCACACATTTCTGGGAAAATACTGCAGTAGAGAGAATACTACAGAGAGAGTGGAATCAATAAACAAATTCTGAAATATATTGATCCAAAACACCACAGTGCAATCATACTGTAACATCGTTTTATTTGAATCAAAGCAAAAATACAGTCATTAGTTGTAAAAACAAAACCAAATGCTGTGTTTCTCAGCTCTCTATCTTGAAATACTGTTAACAAAGCAGTGGTTACTCCACTTCTGTGCTCGTCAACTCTCTGTTGTGGATTTGGCCTCAGGTTCTCGATCACCTATCAGAAGGGGGCCTGTCCTGCCATTCCTTTGACCAACACATCTTCCTCTTCGTTCTCCTCCCACCACTGCTTGTCCTCCATTGTAACCTGGCTCCATGTCACCTCTACTCATTCCACAACATGCATTCAATCATCAGTAACGAGTTGGCAGAAGTGGACAACAAATTACAAATGAACCTGTTGTTTGATTGTTTGTCTTCATCCATACAGCGTTGAGAGTTTTGCTACAGTTACTTATCATTTTGAGTAGTTGTATCAATTGATAGTTAGATCATTGAAAGAAAAGGAATTTACACTCTTTTGAAATGTTATGTGTGAACTGCATTTTGAAATAGTAGTACTTTGATGTGAAGTTGTGTCAATTTGAACCGGTGGTTGTTGTTAAAAACAAATGATCTAAGTTTTGTGTGTGTGGCATCCAAGCAACAGAGAAAAGGGGGATGAGTAAATAAAAAAGCAAATTTGTTTTCTAATTTGAAAAAATGTGCATTTTGATCATTGGTTGTGAGTTTTGTTTCTAGAGTTGTGAAAAAATACATAAATGTTGTGAAACTTGTTGCAAAGTGATAGAAAAAAACTGTAATACAACGACGACTACTACTACTACTACTACTTACTACTACTACTACTACTACTACTGCTACTGCTTACTACTACTACTACTACTACTGCTACTACTACTACTACTGCCACTGCTACTACTACTACTCTACTATTAATAATAATAATAATAATAATAATAATAATAATAATAATAATAATAATAATAATGTACATTTACATTGCAGGTGGCCTTCCTGACGCTGCTGTGCTGATCAGTCACCACAAACGTCCTTCAATTAAAATAACCAGTTTTATTCAACAGTGGGTTAAACTTTACTGTAAGATGTTTTAAAACATTTAGTCAAAAATGACGCATGTGCCACATGTCAGACATTATTTTTTAATTAATTCATTTCACTTAAACATTTTTTTAACCAAAATTCATCTTTAAACGTAAACGTCACCCTTAAAATAAGCTTCTTACAGACACATTCACTTTGTATGGTTTAAATGATTTCAACAAATAATTTAAAAATACGTGACAAAAATTAAAACATCACGTTTTGTAGGGGAAAAATAGAGCATTTCCTGGTAACAATGACTCAAAGACCACGTGATCAGCGTGGTCCTATAAATACCTTTTGGGAGCTAAGGAGGATAGTGTGAGAGTTTGGATGCCTACCCAAACTCGCGCGTAAAAGCTGAAAGCCGTATGGATATCTAGGTGATCAGCGGCGGAACGCCACGGATCTAAGCAGAACCTGAGCCTCAGCTCGTCCAAGCCAACTTGATTTCTAACTTTTTAACGGCTGTCATAAGTTTTCTTCCTTTTTGTTTGTTTTTTTCCTCAAGAGCCTCTGACTGTCGCGCATGAAAAGCACCAGATGCCAAGGAGTCGTCCGATCTCAGGTCAAAGAGATTTTTCTCTTTTTCATAGATTCTAGCCATGTGCGGTTTTATTAGTTGGACATAAAGTAACTCCCCGGTGTGGGTGTAGGGAAGTGAGGGAGGGTGTGTGTGCGCGCGCGCTCTGATCAAACGGGAGAAGAACTCTTGGAGAAAGAGGGGAGGCGAAGCTGCATCTCCAAGGATGACTTTGGGGTCGGATATGTCCGACAGCTCTGCTTTGTCCGAGGATGTGGACATTGATGTGGTTGGTGGAGACATCTCAGTCGGAAAGGACGGACAATATCTCCACGACTTCCACTTGGACAATGACTCGGACGATAATTACTCGCAGAACGCGGCCGAGAGGGTTTCCTCTCCGGGGCTCAGCAGCTCCGATTGCCCGTCAGAGCAGATGGGATCCAGCACAGAGCCCGGGACTGTGATCGGCGACAAACCCAGAAAAAGTGCTCTTGTGAAGCCTCCGTACTCCTACATCGCCCTGATCACCATGGCCATCCTGCAGAGCCCTAAAAAACGGCTCACCCTGAGTGAGATCTGTGAGTTTATCAGCAACAGATTCCCGTACTACCGGGAGAAGTTCCCCGCGTGGCAAAACTCCATTCGCCACAATCTTTCTCTGAATGACTGCTTTGTGAAAATCCCCCGGGAGCCGGGCAACCCCGGGAAGGGCAACTACTGGACCCTGGACCCGGACTCCGCGGACATGTTCGACAACGGGAGCTTCTTGCGCAGGAGGAAACGCTTCAAGAGGCACCAAAGCAACGAAATCCTCAGAGACTCCGGAGGCTTTCTGCCCGGGTTCGGATACGGCCCATACGGATACAACTACGGACTTCAGCTGCAGAACTTCCACGCGGCCCACAGCCCCTTTCACTCGCACCACACAGGTGGCTCCTTCCCTTTCCCCAACGCCCCCTGCACCTTACCCTCCTCAGCCTCCATATTCCCCGCGCCACATCACCTGCCCTCCCTTCTGGGGACCGATTTAAGAAAGCCTTTTTATCCACAACTGAGTCCGTCCCTGCCGTCCCTCAAGACGGACACAAGCACCCAGAGTCGCCCATCCTTCTCCATAGACAACATCATAGGAGCGGCCAACTCCAGCACCTCTTCCTATAGCGCGCAGGCGGGCAGCCAAGCGCAGATCCTGGCCATGCTGACCCCGGCTCTGGCCTCCGCCTCCACACATTTGAACTTATCACAGGAGGGCCTTTTCCAAGCAGCGCCTCAAACCCAGACTTTCCCCTCCAAAAACCCAAATATGAACACATGCCCCTTTTAAAGCACACACTATTAATGACAATTATAAGAAAAATAATTGTGACATCGTCCTACGTGAAGGTAGGATGAACCTTTTTGCTGAAAAATCCATGTTGGGACTCTCCTAGTTTCCTTCAACACTAAGAGGAGAGATGAGTTTATTTATAGTGTAAATATGTGAATAACTGAGAGACAGAACTCGGGCCAGCAGTAACTTCCACTTGTGAGAAGGATCAAAATTAAAGAAAAGAAAAGCAAAATCTGAGATCAGAACATTACGTTTAAGCTATCACGGGGATTGTTTTCACTTTTTATAAATAATAATTAAGAATTTTAATATGATTTATGTTGTGTTTGATTTGTGCATCGTGAGAAATTGGCACTAACGTCGACACAAAGGCTGAGGAGAAACGCAAACTCAGGTTTTATTTAGAAAGCACATAATAGAAATGAATTAATGCTCTTTATTCCCCTTCGGACTCTCATTTTGACGCAGTGAATTTGTGGCTTTATCATTTCATGTTATTACCCGTGAACAGAGCCCGTAAGGTTTTGGTCTGCTCGTTCCTCTATTTGCAATTTAATCTGTGAAACATACAATGTGTCATGATGTGTTGCCATTAGATAAGCACCTAAATGTCCATAGGTCATTATTTTGTTGTGATGGCAAGAATAATAAATATTTGTGAGTTTGAAAACGAAAAAAAAATCGTTATTTTTTTGTTGAAATATCTTTACGGGAATCTAGATCATAATTTTTTTTGTGATATTATTATAATTATTTATTAAATAAAAGGCGTTCCTATTCAAATGCTTCTTGAATTTTATTTAAAGGGGTGCACAGCGGGATTAATCCTAAAAACATCTCCAGGGAGAGAGAAACACATTTAGAACAAGTAAATGGTAGATTGGGTGTGAATGTGTCCAATTAGACCAGCATCTCTTGTTTGCAGTAAATAAAAGCTCCGTTTAGATGAGAGAAATCCTCCCTTTAAGTTTTTCCAACACAACTTGACGATGTGCGTAAAATTGGCGAATATCACGCAACAGTGCGCAAGTATTCCTCTTGTGTGGCTCCTGCTCGTTTCTAAAGGACCATTTTCCAGCATGTCACAAAGCCCCCCCAGTGAAGTGAATGGGGACACACGTTAGCAAGCCTCGGCGGTCTGTAATTGAAAGTGAACAAGGGTCTACCCAAAATCTTTGGGGGGTTTTCGTTGCTAATTTGTAACAGCATTTTTCATCAGGCTCCTAATCCGGTATAATGCAGCTTTTTTTCTTCTTCTCGCTCGTTTGTTGATGTTGTCAGCGCGGACCCCTGGCCTTAAGGGAGTGAATGTGGCGCTCAGCAAGCGGTCCCAAACGAGCGCAACCACACACCCGCGCGCGCACACACACATTCGTTTTTAGAACCCTGAAAAGCAATCTTCTCAAAAGGCCCTCGGTTTCGCTCCGCTTTCATGCCATCCATGCTGTCTCACTAAAGGAAGCAGTGGGACTCACCCGGCTACAGAAAACAGATCTATTGGTCTTTTTCTGTGTTGTTGGACCACATGTTTCCGCACAGAAGGTGGCGTCTTTATTTACCAGATCTGTGCGCAAATGGTTAAATGAGTTTGCGGGTGTTTTGACAGATGATTATTGAGGATGAAGGGTGGGAGGGCTGACTCCTCAGTGTTTTCTCTCCCTGCAGCACAGCTCAGTGAAAGTCTTTGAAACGAAAACCAACACATGACCACTCTTTCTTTATCCAGACCCAGCCATTGTTTCCTTTCTCTCTGCTTGTTAGGGGGAATTAGACAACTGATGAAAGTCGCACGCAGATTATGGGAAATAATTCTGATTAGCGCCTCTCCAGCTGTATCCGCGCCTTTAATGGGTGTTCTCCGTGTGTAATTTGCGGAGTAAATGATGTGGAAAAAAACATTAGCAGACTATTGAAGTTTTCTCTCTCATCCCCTCCTTCTTTGCGTCCTGACAGGGAGTCATTACGCACTGCATCAGACCATTAAAATCCACATCAAGCGTTTGCTGGGGTGGTTGAAAACATTTAACGAAAGAAGCCAATAAAAACTTTAGGAGCTATGCACACACTGGATCGGAAAAGAAGATGTTTAGCTTACAAGCAATCAAATGATTTGAGAGTGAACTCCGTTTTGCGCAAATGCGCATTAACACTGTGCACCTTCCGTGTTAACATGTGACCAAACCTGGAATAGTCATTCACACACGGCCTTTAAT